ATCTAAATAATCTCTCTTGTAACTTCATGAGGCAGTAATCTGAACTTTATAAGAGATTACCCTCAGCAGTTAATTACTGAATATTATGTTACTGGTCCGTGTCATTCTCCCAGTCAGAAGAATTCCATTTTGCTCACTGGACCACAGACAGAAAACGCTGCTGTCCCCCAGTGTGTAAGACACATACCCAAGATGCTGGTGAGTCTCCGCTCCAATGACTACCTCAGCACTTATGTGAAATAAAACCTTAAAAGCTTGATGGCTGGAGCTCTCACAAGGTTCAGTTTGAAGTCCTGTCATCAAAAGAAAGGACTTGGATACACCTTATTACAGTCAACTTGAACATAATACTGTCAAGGAAAAAAAACAAAAAACAAACCAGGAATCGACAGAAGAGTATGTTGTGCATGTTTTATGCATCAAGCTCACAGAAGACAGAAGTAGATGAATGGTGCGTTTGTGCAGCCATATTTTGGAGGCTGGGAAGTTTTTGTTTCAGTTAGAAAACCTACTGTGGGATGGTCAGCAGGCACAGTGGCTACCTAAGACAACATCCGAGCTGTGTATGCTTAGACGCTCAAACGCTGACAAGGTATTGAAGCGGATCAATGCAGCTGAAGATGACTTTGAGAGTGTCAGTCATGCCTAAAGGTGAATCTTGGCACTTTTCCGGGGGAGGTAGGTGCCTTACATCTGTAAGACTGGATTTCAGCTGGCAACAATTCCTCCACATACAGAATTGCAAAGTTAATAAACAAACTTTAAATAATGATTTGGACAAGGACAATGAGACTTAAGAATGAACTAGATCAATATTCTACTCTGCATCCTCCCTATTTCACTGGCTTCCATCATCCTTAAAAATATTATTTTCTCAGGCTTCCAAAGCTTATTCACATTCTAAGCAAAGAAGAAAATTATGATAACACCACCATTTTAAAACTTCAAATACAAGAGCCAAATTCATCCCTGATGTGATCTCATTAACTTAATGAGATTACACCAGGGATGTAATTGTCCCAAGAACTATATTAAATGAACAGTAATATATGATTTTTGTAAAATTCTGTAATATGCTTTCATTAACTTTGTTCTTCTAACCACATATTTAACCTCTCTTCCTCTCTCTCCACTCATTGTCAGTGTAAATACAGCTCATCACCTAGGTAGGATTAAGCACGTTAACTACATGAAGGAGTCAGCATGCTGAATTTACCTATTAATCTTTTCTCCCACCCTCTTAATTGGAGTGATTTCAACTCCATGAAGCAAAAAGCAAATATTGCTTCTCTCCATAATGAAAAGTTTTAAAAAAAAGCACAAGGTACCAGGTGCATTTTTTATTTTTTTTTTTTTTTCCTTCATTCTCCCTCTCTCTATCTCTTTTAAACTAGCAAAAATCCAGGGACTGTTTTGCTGCAACATGTATGAAATGTTTTGTTTCATTGTAATACCAAGGCTGCAAACCTTTCAAACTGTGACTATTAATATGTATTTCATCCTCTGGCTTTCCTGAGCCAAAGCAAATGAACTGTGGCCTCATTGAAATGATACGGTCTCTTGACCCTTTGTGCAGTTTAAAATGATGTAACCTGAACCATTTTAATCTGAAAGCTGGAACGAGTCAAAAGCTGTAATGAGTTCAGGACTCTTCAAGACATTAGAAGAGCTATCTTGCCATAAAAGATGCATCTTTTACCTACAGAAGCTATAATATCATATACTTCATGAGTGACAGAGACATAAATAAACTACCCAGTAGCAGATTTTTCTACCTCTTCCCAAAGATGACTTCAGAGACCAGATCCTGCACAGAGAATAAAATAATTTATAGTAAAAGTGGCACCAGAGTTAAATGCCTCTGTCAACTTTTCCAACAGAATAAACATTATGGTGAAGGTTTAAACCTATGCAATTTATAAACCGGTAGGCTATTAAAAACTGAGGGAAAATATAGCCTTTCAGTGAGTTGGGTTTGTTACAGATTTTGAGAATAACATGTTTGTCTCGCCAGCCCACTCGGAGATGCCACTTCTGAAAACAACTTTCAGATATGTTTGGAGTTCCTTCCCACTCCCACTGTGGTGACATCCAGAGATCTCATGGACTTCACAGACCTCAGAGAAAAACTTTGACTCCACTGAAGTCAGTGAAAAGTGAATATAATAAAACTTTATATGTTGGTTTGGGTTTTCTTTTTAAGACCTCTAAACACTTTATAAAATGGAAGGAGTCCAGTCTTAAAAGTGGGAAAATTTAAGGATAATGATCCCAGCCTCGAAAGCAATTAAACTAGACACAAAAAATCTGTCCCAAATGTCAAATCCAAAGGATCACCCTATCTTTTTTAACAGTTTAAGGAACAGCTTCTGCTCATACTGTGTAGCAGTGAGTTAGTGCTCTGGGCTCATCTTGAGAGCTAACAATATAATGGCAGAGGAAAAAGGCAAATTAAACAAGGCAGAATGAATTCAGACTGCAGAGTATCCAGCAGAGCTGAACGTAGCAAGCTTGAATTAAATAATTAGAATACCAAGGAAAAAAAACCTTCAGAGAGCAAAGGGTGTTCTTGGTCACTGATTGCTATTTAAATTGGTTTGGCCTCTAACGATTTAGAGATGGTCAAAATGCATAAATTTCCCTGAGTTTTATGTGCTTGGCTGTGATGACTGAAGAAGGGAAAAAGTCCAATTTACATAGCACATTTTTATAGATGGTTAAGCCTTTAAGTGGATTAATAAAGTTTGGTACTTTTAAAGGCATAGGTTTATCTTAAATGACAGGCATTCAAGTTAAAAATAAAATGAAAACAACATGCACACACACTGATTAGAAACATGTACAATACCTATTTACCAAGGTTAAGGTCAGAGAGTTATTATAGTCAGATAACCAAAATATCTGCACAGGAAAAGCTTTCAAATTTCACCAAATTATGTATCAAATCATTTTATGGGTCTCATGGTACTGTTGAAATCCTTGAAGACAGGTGTGTGCTGAAATAACTTGCCAGATTGGAATTCCAGCTAAAACCCGTCTGATAGTTTTTCATTCACTTTCCAAACAGGTTGCTATTCAAACTCTTCACTTTAATTTGCCACCCCAATATTTTTCCATTAAACGATGGAAATTTTTTTTTGTGACATGGTTTGATATCAGAATGAGAGAAATAGAAAAATACTACCTGCCTTCAAAACCAAAAAACTAAAACCCATTGTGCAAATTTCACCCCAAAAAGGATTTTGCCCATACAGAAAATGTGTATTAAAGAACAAATTACGGCTGGACTGGTAGGAGTACTTTTTTTTGGTTTCTAGTTAAAGCAGAGAGAAAATTTGTGATCAATTTATAATTCATTTTTATATATTTTTAACAAAATTAAAAGAAAAAGAAAATACTTTGCAACTGGATGATAGTTTTCACATGGAACAAAGTGGTTTAATTTTAAAAATCAAAAATAAACTGTATACCAAGTTATCATTCTGAAATGAAAAAAGTAAATATTTCAATTGTATGATGCTAAAATGAACGTTACATTATCTTGTCAAAAACATCTATTATTTTAGGATAAAACAACTTCACTAATGGTACCAAATGCACAAGATGTGACACAAAACAATATCTTACAATCTTAAAAAGTGAAAACAAATAGAAGTCTTGTACTACATTGGCAAATGTTGCTTTAGGCTACCTCTGTCAACAGATCAAAACTGTCGTGACATCCTCTTGGCTAAGAAATGCCATGTAAATGCAAATTACGGTTCCATTTTGTAAAACAGTGTAATTAACAAAAAAAAAAAAAAAAAAAAAAAAAGGAAATTACCTGTAGTCTGCCAGTATCTAAATTCATTATATTCATAGTTATGGCAGCAGACATGGTCTCAAATTAGTCTAATATTCCCTACTATTCTTTAGTGCAGTCATTTGAGTGTCTGAATGACAAACTAAATTTTCTCTTTTTTAACTTTTTACCAATAAGTCAAGGAACTTAATATTATTTTTATGTATAGTTTTACTTACAAAAAATTACATTATTCAAGGTCTGACTTTTATAAGAACGCAATGAAAATGGAGCATGCATTTCCGTTCTTAAGGTGCCCATATTATATGCCCAAAACCAGAATGGGTATGCACCACTCAAAAACATATGTTACACAGACTTTTATTTCCAAATAAAAACATTTCACCAGTAATTGGATGTGAATCTTGAAAACATAGGGAAAGAACCCTCAAAAAAGGAGCCATTCAAGAAAAATACAAAGCACAAGGTATGGAGAGGACCAAGGTTTTCCCCAGTGCCTGGAATTTGACGGAATAAGCTTGCTTAATGGGAGCACCATGTCCTCATCCTTTTAAACAATTAAACATCACATCTATATAGAAATGCAAGTATTATAGAATTGGACATAATGATCAGTTTAGCTAATAATACCTCAAAGGGAGCTTTGAAAGACAGCTTTGTAACTAAGCTATTAATCAAAATAATAAAAAGGTATATAAAGTCACTGATTAACAATATTTTGACGGAGCTATTAGGAATTTCAGACTTAGCAGAAGATCTTACAGTAGCAAAATTAAACTCAGGCCTAGGGAGCACTGTTGCTTGGAGAGCACTGCTGGTAATGTCCTTCAGGGAAATCACTGCAGCCAAGGGCCTGACTTGCCTTGGTACCTCTGGTACCAACATCAACACTCCAGCTGTTTCCAGTCGTGTTCAGTGTGTTCACAGTGAGGCTCTAAATTACAACACCAAGCTTTGTTTCATAGCTTGCATTTGGAATGAGATTGCAAAGGGTTAGCCAAATGTTAGTCAGGTGGTGTCTGCTTTGGTTGCATAAGTTACTGTGAAAATCTGGGAATCCCTGAAAAAGTCAAAGGAAACTACTTTGTGGGCGTCGCTTCAAAGGCCTGGGATGGACAGTGTGCTGGATTCTTTTTCCCAACAGCATCTAAATTTATCTCCATTGTTCTTCTTTTTTCTTTTTTTTTTTTCTGCTTAGTACTAAACCTGGATCCCAGCCAGCAAGGGACAACAATATCTTGACAGAGAACCTCATGCATCCCACACGGGTCATCTACATTGTCCGGGATCCATGTGCATCAGAGATTACAACAGTGGAAAACAAAAGAATTACGCAACAGAAAGGTCTTGATGAGAGTAAACAAGAGAAACGTGACTTACTGCTGAAGCACTTTCCTGCCTGTAGTTGAAGCAGAGGGACAAGAGGAGGCCCACCCTTCAAATCTTCTCACACAGTAACACAAAAACGCAGCAAATAAGCAACTGGAGTCTCATGTACTGTTGTCTGGTGTTTCTGTTTAGTCAGTACTGTTCCTTAAATCAGAGATAAAGGACCAAGCCGTATGCAATTTCATAAAAAAAAACATGCATTTGTTTTAAGATCCAGCTGATAACATTGATAAAGTCTTAGGTAAATTAAAAGTGTGTTATTAAAGTCAATGCTGGTTTATTCAAAAGGAAAATCAACCATACCCGTGAGAGAGCTGGACTGAGAAGAATGTGGGACAGTTAAAATCCTGGTCTGTTCTGAAAGAGGCCACCTGACCTCACATTAGCCATCAGAGCAGTGTGGCCAGCCGAAGCTAGCTCAGAGCCCTTGGCACAACCGGCCCTCTAAGCGCCTGCTCTGCAAATAGTTCAGCTTGCCAAGGCTTAGCAGGCTCCCCAGCCCCAGCAACGTGTGCCCATGGCACCACTGCCCTCACTTTTAACCCTGACTTTGTCTCTGCACACTCCAGCAGTGGCCCATCCCAGCTCTGAAGGAAGGGGATTGCAAAGTAGGGAGCATTAAGATGGAGGCTAGCTCCTGCTCACACTTTTCTCTTGCAACTCATCAGCAACAGCACATCACTTCAGTGGGCATGTGTACATCTGCTCCATGTGGAAAGGGGAGATCCAGCCAGAAACAGGCTGAACGTAGGGTTGAATATACACAAAAATTGATGGGGAGCTTGCCATCCAGAAGCGCTTGGAAAGATGCTGCATGTTCACCTAAGAGGTTGGGAAGCGTCAAGGCACACCAAATACTATACTTCTCCTACCTGTTCCTATGTACGAACTGACTATTTGGTACAGTCAGTCTTTAGCCTCTTGCTTTTTTGGGGGAAAGCTTGTTTTGTCTGTGTATGAGCTGTGTTTTGAGATAACCCTAAGGGCAGTGCAAGTATAAAGTAATCAGAGGTAGATCAAGCATTGGATTTAAGCAGAATTTAGGCATATGTGACAAAGATGTAGTATTCTGAACAGCCTTTTTCAGCTGCTGCCTAATCCTGGAGTTACCTAAACTCCTTTGTTAAAAGTCCATGGAGCTTTGTGGTAGTCCAGTATGCATAGAAGTATTTCTGCTTTCACAGGACTAAGTCAACAAATACATTCCTCTTACCTAAACCAGATCAGAACAAAAATATCAGATGCTTCTCTACCCATTTTTACATCATGATCCAATAAGCATTCTCAGAGCATACCTAGCATCCACACACAACATTAGGACCCAAACAAAGAGTGCTACTTCCCTTTAAGATAAAACCTAATGATTGATACATTCAATCAGGATATAGAAAATAGATTCAGCTGTCTCCCTTATTGAACCATTGCAAATCCACAGCTATCATCACTCCTATAGAATGTTATAACCACAAGGATACAGATTGTTCAAAACAAGGGTAATCTCAAACCAGTGCTGTTGAAGCAGTGCCACTGTGCACAACAGTGAATTGTAGCCAGCAGGTCAAAAGAAGTGTTTATTCCCCTTTATTTGACACTTGTGAGGCTGTATCTGCACTCTCCAGTTTTAGGCACCCCTCTGCAAGAAAGCTATTGAGAAACTGGAGCAAGTCCAGAGGAGAGGCAGCAAGATGCGTACATGGCATATGAGGAGAGACTGAGAGAACTGAGTTCGTTCAGCCTTGAGAGGAGAAGGTGAAGGGGAAATCTTACTGCACTCTGCAGCTGCCAAATGGAAGGATGCAGAGGAGACAGAGCCAGGCTCTCCCTGGAGGAAGAGCACTGATGATCTCATGCACTGATGGCATGAAAAATTATGGGAACAAGTTGGAAAATAGGAAATGCTCTTTAGATGTAAGGGGGGAAAATGTACCATGGAGATGATCAGGTGCCTGACCAGGTTGCACAGAAAGGCTGTGGAATCCTTACCGTTGGAGACACTAAAAAATTTGCTGGGCAAGTCTGCCAACAACCTGATCTAACTGAGCCTGGTTTGTGCAGGGGGCTGGAGATAATGACCACAGGAAGTCCCTTCCAACCTCATTTTTTTTCTATGATTCTGTGACTGTATGAAAGAACAGCAGATGAAGGTCTTCTGTAACCTCACATTTGGATCACTTGATTTGCAAGAGGAGATCTGAATTCTGGTCCATAAAACCAAATGTCTACTTATATATGTGTATAACACACACAGGGACAGAGGAGATGTTAAAGCTCTGTTAAAAACAGTTGACAAAAATGAGCCACTCCTTTTAAAAATGCCTATATGCTTCTGGGTCAGAGCTTGCATTCTGGGCTGCAGATTACACATGAAGAAGAGCATCTCTAGGAACTGCAAGTGAGAAAACCAGTGAGTGAGATTTAAGACATATCCCCATCCTTCCAACCGGTTAGACTTAGGCAGAATTATACCTGTTTACTGACCCCAGGTAGCTCCTTCCCTCTATTCCAAGATGACTCATTTTCTCCATGCTTTTGTAGAAGAAGCCTGTACCTCATTCCCACACAAATATTTGCATGCCTTAATTGGACCATCTCCTAGCACTTAGTAGATTTCTTACCAACATACCAATAGTCTTGAAAAGTTTCTGTCTTCTGTGACCTGAATTCAAAACCTTTCAGCTGTTGTATGGTAGATTTTTAATACACTTTACAAAAAGATGTTTTAACATCTTGATCTTCAAGTTAGTAGATGCTATAGTATTTAAATTATCAAAGTGGACACTACCTCATTTAGAGATAGCCTGACCTTTATACATACACGCCTTATTTGATATCATTGTTCTCTTGCAGTGTACCCATAAGTGTGTATTATCTGCTATCGCTTGTCTTGCAATGTATTCTCTTGAGAAACTGTGAAAAGGAAAACTAATTTCCAGTTCTGTGCTTTTTTTTAAAGACCTCACTGCATGAGGTCTTTGTTACGGCTGCAGGCCCCAGGTGCTATAGTTACATGATTTTTTTTTATTATAATCACTGATATTATTATATACTTTGTAAGAAAGAGGGAGGTGTAATTACCAAAATAAGCAGGAAGACGGTATGGTCAGTAAGGACTGAAACATAAGGAAACGGTTTCACAAAAAGGGAAAACTGGTTTTATATCTTATTAAAAATAGGCATCAGCATTTAAATTTCTTGTATGCCCATATAAATAGAATAGACTTCACCTATGCAAAAGCCTGAAAATGAGCTTAGCATTAAAATAATATTTTGTGCATGCAAATATATTGTAAATCATTTAAAAAACATTTTCACCTTTGCTCCATGTAATTAATTATTGAAATAATTCTTTTCTTACTGTTCTTACCATTCTCACTGAGTGTGGAGGTTCTGAACTATATATTGCTCATGAATCAGTACTGAATTTGACACTAGTGATATAAGAAAGTAGAGGTGGATGCTTAAGAGATTTCATGCAGGCAGAAAATGCTGATATGTTACAGAACAAAATAAATTTCCCACCATGATGGGTAGGTTGGAGTCTGTTTGCAAACTATAGCAGAAATCTCCGTCTTAATGTCGCTAATCATATTAGCTAAATATCACAGCAGGTAAAATGAGTTTTCAATAACACTGCTGAGTAATTTTCCAGCTAGTTTCATGCTTGGGATAATCTTATTTTTTTCTTTGTAAGTTTTGCATGGATATACTGGGGCAATTATCTTCAGGCATTTGGAAACTAAGCTAGCACAGCAGCTTGCCAGTCTGCCTTAGTGTGACCCACTGTGGTGTTTATGTTCTGCATGCCAGTTGTTATTAGCTCACATGTGCATGGAATACCATTTTACTCTTTATTGGTTTAACATAATGGTATACCATGGGGAGTGTTTTACAGAAGGGACAGGATCTGAATATAAAGGCCTTCCTTCAAAGCAGGTATTTATTATCCATACACAGGAAATTTCACTCATTCCTCCCATTTTATTTTATTCATGAACACCAAAATAGATACCATGGAGGAGTATAAAGATTAATAGATAATGGAGAAAATTATTGCAGTTATATTCTGAGCAATCACAGTTTACTCAGTGTCGTACAAACCTTTTCCCAGTCTGAGACATTTGTACAATAAAGGCCAGATTAAGACCACAGGAGAGGACAAATTTCACAGTAAATTTCTCAATAAATTCAACAAGTGCAGGCACACAGTTCTCAGTGTCCTCCTCTAACACTGTGGTTACATCCTTCTCAGAGGTAGGGCTGACTTAAGTGTTTCTTTACTTCCCCCCCCATAACGCTGCCTCCAATCTGTTCCTCCAGCTGGGCATGGTGAGTCAGGTCAGAGAACCAGCCAAAAAGGTTTAAAAAAGAAAAACAAATGAAAACACAAACCCACACAAAATAAAAGTTATTTTTCCTTTATCCTAGTCTCGTGCTTACGCTGCCTCATAAACAGTTATCAGAGCAACACAGAGAGCAATGCATGGGAGGAACAAAAAGGCAGGGACGTTAGGGCCTGTTTATATCAAAAAAAACTGCAGAAAAATGTACACGGAAACAGGACACAAAAAGAGAGAAAAGAGAAAGTTGTCTTGTCACCAGATTTGCACAGAATTTTAAGTTTTCATTACAAAGAGAGATAATATCCTAACATGAATGAAGAAACAGGAATCAAACCGCATTCTGCATCAGAGCATACAGCAAGATAACACACCTCAGCCAAGACCAGGGAAGACAGCAAGCCCGTGATAAGGGATTGCAGATGCATAGAGGTGTCCTGCTCTGTCTCCACTCAGCATAGAAGGCAGAATCACCCAGTTCTGGTCCTGCAGCGGAGGAGTGGACAAGTTGCCCAAAGACACCTGCTCCTCTCAAGACACAGACCTGCAGGTATGCAAAGGGGAGCCTGCTCCTTTGGGTCCAGCCATTGGCGACTTCTTACATTAATGCCTCAGCATGTCAAAAAAGTACTGGACAAAAGGAGTAAAGAAGTTGTAACTGCAAGGCTAGAAAATATGTACAGACTTGCTCAAGCAAGTTGTATTATTTTTTAAAAAAAAAAGAAAATAACAACAACAACAAAAAAAAAAAAGATCCACAACTTGAGAAAGAACTAATAATTCAGCAAGAAACAATTTTTTTTTCCAGTCTAATGATACTTTGTCTTTCTCCCCGGAGTCCATGAAGTTTCAGTCTAATCATGCAGTTCATGTCCAAAGTCCTCTGTAGTATCTAGCAAAAATAGGAGGAAAATTGGTTTTGTCTTAATGTCCCACATCGTATGCAAGGATACCCTCACACAGAAGGCCACAACAGTTCAATCAATGCTGATACACTTTGAGATAGGTTATAAATACATATATCTCATTCATTTTATGTTGCAGGTTAAAAGAGAACACAGGGAAAATTCTTGAGGAAGTGATTTGAATAAGGACAAGCAGTTAAACTACTAATGTAAAGAAATTAAGAGGTACTGAAACATGCACGATTATAAACACCCAAGCGTGATTGACTCACGCTTACCTCTTGATCTAATGTGAGACTCCAAACCCCAAAAACCTAGTTTCCAACAGATTTGTATCATGTGGTTCTTTTCTGTTTCAACTGAACTAGAATAAGGCAGCAACTTAATTTTTATGTGTACTTTTTCTATACTGGGTAGTCCATGCAGAAAGACAATTATGTCCTAACTTTGGGGAAAACTTGAGTCAGCATTTGTGCCCTATTAGACATCAGAGGACCAGCCTGTCAGCTGTGAGAAACATCATGTGTAGATTTATTGATCACAAAAAAAAAAAAAAGTACAAACAATGACTAGAAAGATTTTGGTTTGCTTTGCTTTTTTTTTCCCCCTCTCCAGTTAAGCCATTCATAACATACTTCACACAAGTTTCTGATCTTTGCTCGAGTTCATGCCCCATCTCTTATCCTAACTGGGGGCATTAAGCAGGTTCTCTACTTGGCTACTATTTTTGAGAACCACATGAGAAGTCTGTATCTTTCATACACCTACCCTCTCTGTCTGATTTGGAAGCTGGCCAGTGGGTTTCAGAGTTATTAAGAAGACAAAAATGAGAGTGAGCAGAGTGACAGGCAACATGGTGACAGCAGCTTCACTTCTTTTGGAAACCAGACAAAAATAGATGCTTGCATATCCTAAATGCCGAAATTAAGTGGAAGGCAACTTTTCAGGGCTTCCGGTCTAAACGGAAACCAGATGTTCCAGGGTTATTTTCTCTGGTCCTTCAGAGAAGAGTTGCTTTGTCAATAAGTTGCTTCCTTCATCACGGCCTGAGACTTTTTCCGCTGGTATTCAAGTGCACTTAAGGCGGGGGGGGCAGCCAACAAACCTTTCTCCAGAATTTTGGAAACTCATTATAAAAAAACATGTTCAGCACAAATAAGAGTGTGCTCATATTTTTGAATTTTAAATCCACTTTCTTCTTTCAGATAAGAACAGCCAAATCCTCAGCTTGTCTAAATCAGCACAGAATCAGTCAGCAGCACCATGCCAATTTAAACCAGTTGAGAGTCCTTGCATGTAAAACCAGTTGATTTCTCACACATGTCAGGTTTGATAGTTGTGCTGGCAAAACTGTGGAAGCCAATTCTTGTTTGGATGTTGCTACTGAAATAAAGAAGCTGGTCTTATTTCTCCAGCCTACCAATTTGTTCCTACAGGCAATCAGGTGGCAATCCCCAAGGATGGGAGTGTTGGGAAGGTACAGGGGAAGGAAAGCATGTGAAAGGCCAAACTAAAAACAAAAAGTCAGCTAGGTGATGCTTCAAAAGAAATATTATCTAGTTTTATTAAAAAAAAAATAATAATAATAATAATAAAAAGAAATCTAGGATAATAGGCATCCCATCAGACTTTCTTCTGATGGAAAGATAAAAAAAAATTATTGAGGAGGATAAACTTCTTTTAATTCAATTTGTGTTTAACACACTCCAGCTTGGGGAAGATTGATGCAAGAACTCAGTTTTACATGCTGAAAACTATCTAAAGACATTCTCACCATCAAAGAATCAGTCTTCAGAGGTTTACACATGAATTTAACCTTACGTGCTACAGTCATGAGACAAAACAGGATATGTAAAATTTGAGCTAACACCTCTTGCAGGAAAAGGATTGTAGCTGGTAAAACTGAGGACATGTATTCCTTGAATCCAAGTCTTAATGTCAGTTCCAATGTTGATACAAGCAACAATATATCCTTACTCTAATGTGATAGGCTATATCAGTATTTTTTTCTTCAAATACTCTTTTATTTTTCCAGATCAAACATCACTATGAATTACAATTACATATGGAGATTTGGAGGGTCTTTGTTTTGGGGTGGGTTTTTCTTCATTTATTACAAATATTTTCCTTCATTAAGAAGTAACATGCAAACTGAAAGAGGATAACAACATAAATTATATGAAGTGCTAAACTATGAACTATTGCAAAATGTCTACCAGGCTATTAGGGGTACTAGAGTGAGAAAACAAAATATGCTTAGGTAGATTTGACAAAATTTAACAAGCAAGAGAGGAATTTACACACATGGAGGTAATAACAGATACAAGGAAATAATTACTTTTGAATTTTAAATTTTTATTTATAAGGAAGTACATTTCATGTATCCCAGTAGATCCTTTACAAAGATCATCACAAATAGGCAAAAACACAGTGAAAAACAAACACAAGATGAATGAATCCTACTTTAATAAACATGAGGTCCTTCCAAGAATGTATTATTTATTTTGATTTATTCTACAGTGATAGCAGTCTTTTGACATAATTGTTACGTGGCTGAAGAACATCACACTAGGATTTCCTGCTTCAATACACAGAATGCATTGATATTCTAATAATAAGCATTTAAAAATGCCTTATTACTATTCTAGGTCCACTGGTTTCTCAAGTCTCAACCCAGAAATGGAGACACTAATTTTCTTTTCATAAAGACAGAATTTTCATAACTGCCTTTATGTAAAAATCAACAAATCCATTTTTTAAGGCTTCCTTCTATGACTATTATTTCATGTAAAGCTGGCAATTAGCTTACCGACATTCTTATTTCTTGATTTGGGACCTAGCAATAGAAACAATCTTGTGATCTGTATTTTAGTATCCTTTGGGAGAGTCATGGGAAAATGTATTGCACATGCAGGGTCCCTTTTATGACCATGGGCATTCAGTCTGAGTCAGCTGGTTTTGCTTTTTTAAAAATTGAGGCAATGCTATGCCCTATCTTATAGTCATGCTGTACAGCTGCACATATTACTGTTAAAATGAAGTTTGACAAGTGCCATGAATGCAATATTAAATGAGGCAATGGCAAAACTTAAACTGAAGAAACTACAGTTCCTCTGCTTATGTTTTAGTAACCAAATTAAGCAGTCTATAAAGGCTATTGTCATACATGTACCTTCCTTATCAGCTGTCCAAGTTCATTTTTTAGGTGAAATCAGCATTTCAGTAGCACAAATGTCAGTATAATAGGACACTATGTTGCACAAGAGTCATGAAAGGTTTCAATCTTCTAAAACTCCTACAAAATTTTGGAATACCATAGAGTTTCAGAAAGACCGAGAAATTTGGTTATTTTTTTTATCCTGGCAAGTCCCAGGCCATGATATGAAGGCTTTTGGGGTGTTTAAGAGTGCAGATCTTGCCAGGAGTATCAAATAACCAAATTTATTGAAATCTTATCAATTTTACTGTAATGAGGGACCTTCAAAGTGAACTATCCCCCAAACCATAGCTGGGTTTTGTCTGATGCAGAGCTGTTAGCATGCTTCAACAGAAAGCCAGGGAGTGAATGAATACTTTCAGTCTGCACCACTTCAGTTCATTTCACTCTGTGCAGTTTCTTATATGGATGGACAAATCAGTTACACTGCAGCTGTGAGAAGGAACAGGAGTATTTGGGACAGTATGCCAGTCACACATCTGCAGTCAGAACCCTACCGCTGGTCCTTTACCTCCACCCATGTGTCCTTCTTTGGTTCATACCTGAATGAAAAAACAAAGCAGTGTCTAGATGCAAATTACTTCTAAAGGATGCGAATGGGTGCCCTGCTCAAACATTCAGATCTAAGGATATCAGATAGGGGCAATGAGAGAAATAACCTCATAACATTCCTTCAGAAGCTTGTCAGATCAAGTCATAGGGAAGGCATGGATATTTATATATATAAACACAATACCACTAAACAGACATTAGATACTACTATGTAATGCAAATGGATTGAACATGAGCAGCAGTATGCCATGTGAGATTGTGCAATGAAACCACAAATGTAAATATTAAACTTTGCCTAGACAAGCACATCACTGGTACAGGCAAGTTATTACTTCCTTAAATACTATTTACCAATGTCTAACTACAGTAACTAAATGTTTGGTTTGAACATGTATTTTAAAGGTTGCCTTAGCTCAGCTATTCCAGTAGCCCTATCTTGAACAAACCCCCAGCCTAGACAAAACCTGCAGCTGAGATTTGTTAGGGAGGGACTTCATGTATTTGTACAAAGCATCGAGGCTGAAGACCTGACTAGGAGTGCTGGTGGGTGACTGCAGTTTAAGTGATTCTTATAGTTCTGTTTAATTTCACTGTTCAGGTAAGATTTTGTTCTTTACTGGAAAACTCTGTTCATAGCAATTTGTTAAGCATAAAATAACGTCAGTTATTTTTCAAAAATAATTTTCCAAGGTGTGGACTGACTATATTAGTGAATGAAGATTGGAACAAGAAAAAAAAACCCACAACAAAACAAAACGGTGGGGGAGGGGGTGTGTGATTAAAGTTAAAAAGTACATAAATCACTTCAGAAATATAATTTGCAAATTCATTGTGTGAAGTAATTAATCAAAGCATGGCTGAGTTATAGTACTTGAGAGACTTTGATCTGACAACTGGAAGAAATATAAAGAAACTACTGGGTATCGAGCTACAGAGTTAGGATGTAAAATCTTTCTCCATGCTAGTCACAAGTTTAATTACTTCTTTTTTTCCACTGACAGATCCAAATTAAAATAAATGGGCCACATCAAGATAAATTTCAGATGCATGCAGCGCTTAAGAATATATTGTTCCCATAATACAGGAATACCATGGAATTTATTAATAAAACTGTTCAATTGTTTTCTTTCACTGGGAATTGTGTTGGGAAAGTAAAATAGAATACATAACAAGTGCTTAACATTTTCTCTTTTAGATGTTTAATTTAGCTATTTTAAAACACTGGTTTTATTTTTACAAAAATATATATGTCTACCCATACTTACAGCAGCATGTGACAAGAAAAATAGTTATGGTAAAAAACCCATAGACAGTAGTAAAATATTAACTGGACGGCCTTAATACTGTCACTCCTTATTCTCAATGTGAAGAATTTCAGTTTGAGTAACACACACAGATTGTTCTGCTTATCTGTATAGGTTTGACATTGCTGAAAGTGACTTGAGATACTTTTAAAGTAACTAAATGCACTTTTAATTCTTAATTGCAAGAATAAAAATGAAAATACAAAATATTTATTGTAAAATGTATACAAATCTATGTTACAGATTTAAAGTTTTTAGGAAGTAAATAACACTATTGCTAAAGGAAATTATTAAGTCAGTATGTAATGCTACCATGCCCTGTGAAACACAGCTAAGGCTGGTCCATCATACGGGAGCTCATATCAGTAAACATGTAGTCAGAAACCAGAAGTCGGGATCAGCATATCCAGGGTCACCATTTCTAGTCATTTGCCTTAAATGATAAGCCACAAACTTGAAAAGAAGTGTCATTATTACATCAGCTGTGTTATGGCTTTTAAAACCATAGGACAAGTTTATTGCCTAGTCTGTATCCAGTAGTATGGACAATTATTATATATCCAAAAAAGCAGACAAATTAACAGTGATATATAAGAGCATTCCCCCTACCATCCTAAGCCTGGCTGATAGGAAGAGGTCTTGAATTGCTCTTTAATCTCCAGGGTAATGATCTCACTCTTTCCCTTTCCTCCTCATCCTCCCAAAGCTACCTTCCAGTATATTTCTCCCTCTCTTACCTTATTCTCACAGTTTTCTGCCCTGAATTATCTGTAATCTGTACATAGCAATCAGCAGAGACAACACATAACTGCTTATGTTAATGCAGAAGTAGGAAAAAAATCCTCCTTTTTGTCCATTTGAGTGGCCAGCCAACAGACGCTTCATTGGCTGCTGCTGCTGTTATTTAGCCATAACTCCTCTGCATATGCTACACACAGTGGCAGTGAAGGAGACTCACTCTTCTGTCCCCGCCGACTAAACTGCATGAGCGATTATGCAATCTTGCAGCAGTGGGCTCCAGAAAGTGAGCCGGCAGTGCCTGTGGGTAGGCTGCAGTTGTAGGAAAAAGGTGACCTGTGTAAGAGGAGGAGGGTAGTAGTTAATGTACTAGCACTTCCTTTGGGGAACGTACCTAAAATCCAGGCAGCTCAGAGAAGGTGAGCACCTTTTTTTCTGTGCAATTCACTAGTGAAATTATCCTTAAATATGGTCGTTTTAAAGCAGACCCTTCATTCTTATGAGTCGGAGACTTGAAGGTCCCCAGCACCTGGTGTGCACTGGCATCTTCAGAACTTATTTACTTCACTGCCATGAGGGAGCTAGAAACCCACCTTGGTTATCAAGCCTGAAGTATCGGTCCTAAAGCAAAAAAAGTATAATCTTTCTTTCTGCAGACAAAATCGAAACACAATCTTAAAGCAATTAAGCGTCCCAACTGTAGTTCTAGACACAGTGTGCTTTGCAAGCCGCAGCCTCACCGTATCCTTCCTGAGGCCCTGCTTCCTTCCAAACATCGGTGCTGGTTCACAGACGCCCGATCTCAGCTCTCTGACAACGATTTGCTGAGTTCTCATGTCACCAAAATTTTGTTTTGCAACTCACCCATTCTCACAACTTTCCAAAGGTTGCCTTGATCTCTTGAAAGGCTATGAAAGGCAGTAACATCAGGGGTGAACAGGAAAAGCAGAGCCTGTTTGGAGGGGAAAAAAAAAAAGAGAAATTAAACACAACTCTTGACTGCTTCCTTGCTCTACATGAACCCATATAAGCAAACAAGATTAGGGAAGGCCATCCTTCAAATGGGAGGTACTCTTGTTTATACAAGTTTTTTTTAAAATGTATATGTATGTTTAAAATCCTAAGACATAAGTAATGATTTTCTTTTTCAAGATTTACTTGTCTTCCACATAAGTTTAAGGAGAAAAAAATCATGCAAAAAAAAAGCTTGTCTTGTCACTACAATGAGGAACTAAGTGAGTAGTTTTCTAGAAGAACTTCATCAGGGAAAAAAGGATTGCAAGGACGCTTGAATAATGAAATATCAGACAATCCAAAACATCATTAACCCTAGTTATATTTCTTGGAAATTCGTCCTTACAGACTTTCTTCAGTACCTTACACACAAAGGGAAGATTATGTGACTGTAGCTTCCTTCCTCCTGCCTCAATTCAATTTTCTTTCGATAAACGTGTTTACTGTGAGAAAAGAGAATAGAAGTATTTGATTCAGAGGACAAACCTGGAGGAAAGATATAGAAGAGCAGGAAAGGAGTGAAAATCAGGCAGAACAGGGATCTTTGTGAATAAAAGGAAAAGGTAAAGGGATGCAAGAAAGTAAAATACAAAAGAGAAGATATGTCATATCAGATGGTAGAGAATATTTTTTGATAACAACCTAAGTGTTAGATTTAAAGGACAATGTCTAAATGTTGCATTAACTAGTGATCGGAGCTTTATTCTCTCTGCATAAATAAAACTGTCATAAGCACTGGTACCGCTGTAGCCACTATTTTTTTTATTTTCTGATGTTTTCTTTTTGTCTGTCACAGAGATGTAATATTCTTCTCAGTTGGATGAAGCACTTTGAATTTTTGTAAATTTTTATGTTGTCTTACTGCAAGTAATGTGTCACATATGTCTACAGATATTTAATCTTGATTTTCCTTCTATTGACATTCAAACTGCATAACCCTCGTTTCTCACACAAAAGTGAACAATGTTTCACAAAAGCGAGCGTCTGCTTCTTTCATCACTTCACTTTACCAGCAGGTTATTTCCAGAATCTTCTGTCTTCTATCCTCTTTTGCGTGAAGGAAATTAAAAATTACTGACATAACTGCTAGGAATTCTTCTCCTTTAGCAACCTTTGAGGCTCCTTTAAGTTGTTCATTCTCTGTGAGGTATCCAGTGAAATCATGTCACTACAAAGGATGTACACCACCATCCGTACTTTCCCACATTCCGAATAAAGAGCCTATATGATATCAATATCAAGCCTCACAAAAAATATTATTGCTCATTCTTTAAATAAAGTCTTCAGCAAAGACCATCTCTCTGTCTTAGGTAGCTGTGGATGCATTTAGTTTGTTTCTTTTGTTTTCAAAATTGAGTAGTTGTCCACAAAATATGTGTCATTCTATTTCATTACCTGCAGCTCAGAAGATGTCATTCTGTTTGTATATTGTGGAGGTGGCAACAACTCAAAATTTCCAACAGCATGAATCCTATCTCTTTTGATGTCCTTTTCCCTCATAGTCACAGCTTGCTCCTCCTCAATACTCTCTGATTATTTTTTCATGGGGTTCCATGCTGCTCCTAAATCTGGTTGTCTAAGAAATAATTCTATTATTTATTTATTTGTTTGTTTGTTTGTTTAATTAATTAATTAATTAATTAATTAATCTGCAAATTCATGGGAAATTCAAAAAATAAAATTGCCAATTTTTTCTGAAATTCCCTACAGGAGGAAATTTTAAGGCCCTCCTCTTACAGTCAGAAAACAGAAAATGGAAAGTTAATGCCATAAACCCAAAGTCAAACATGCAAAAACTGTGGTTGCATGTGAAATAGTACCTGAAAATTTTGGGCAGCATCCCCTCCTCCCTACCTTCTTAGGTTAGGCTTCCAACTGAAGTTTGTGGAAATGTACTTAACTCGTACTGAAAAGTGTTCTCTGTGCTGGTATATCATACTGCAGAAAATGGAAGACAGAAATCTGTGATTTAGAGATGAAACCTGCAAGCACTTCAGTGCCGAGTGAAACAGGAGGGGGAGCTCTCAGTACACCGGCCAACGAGGAAGGATCGCTCCAGGCTGTTTCCCAAGACAGGAAAGAAGGATCTGCTCTCACCCTGCTTTTCAGCTGGGAAAAGGTACAATTTTCTCACCTTGTTCGTTGGATTACACAGCAAAAACTGAGCTAATTACCTTCTCGCCTTTGCCTTTTTGATAAAATAGGTAAGATCTAACTTGGTTCAGCAAGCAACTACAGCAAACAAGCAGCAAAAGAGCAAGGACAACACCAGTAACAAGTCAGAGATCCAAGAAGTGTTGCACAGCAAGGGAACCATGAACAACTGCTTTCTGTCTCATTTTCTCTCTTAGTTAGGTCTTGACTTCACACATTTGAAGATCAGCACCACAGCCTTCCCCTGCCCTGCAGCCCTATATACCAAATGCAAACCATGCCTTGGTCTGTGACCTACTGATGACAAGATCACCACTAGAAATCACATTTTCTCTTTGCAGCTCTTTCCTCATTTATTGCAAGGTGCTTCACTTTCTCAACTTGAAATCAAGTACAGACACTTGGGAAGTCTGAAAAGGAAACAGCTAATTATAGGGTAGCTACACATGCAAGTAATAGGGCAAAGAAGTTAATTTTCTAAGAAGAAACAAAATATTATTGAAATCAGTCAGGAATATTTCATCCGGCCATTGCCACTTAGCAATTTTATAGAAGGTAACAAGAACATGCAGAAGGATTGGAACAAAGGTTTAATAGACATAGGACAGGCTAGACACAGAAGGTAGACTGTATATATTTTCAATCATAAATTTGCAATAAACCAGGATGATTTCTAGAGTAACAGCTCTAGGCAAGACATGTATGACCCAGAAAAAAAATCTTTAAATGGTTCTAAAATTACCTAATTTTACTCATCTGGTAATTCTGCAAGTATTATACCTTCAAAAGAGAAGACAACAGGACAGTTTCTATCCTTTTATTATGAGTTGGATTCAGCCCACTGAATACTGTAAAATGAATCAATTCTGGGTAATCTACAATAAAAAAGAAGGGCTTAGAAAAAGATTATGCATAAAAACAATACTTTAGACAAATCAACAGTCAATGTTGATTATTAAATACTTACCGACTGTTCAGATTGGTCTCTGAAGTTAGAAAAACTAGTTGAACTACGGCAAATTATAATAAAAGTAAGAAATCTGAATAGATGGAAAAAAGAGTTTCTAGGATGGTCCAGGGAATAGAAAGAAGATTTAGATGAGGCTTGCTTAATTTAACAAACCAGATGCTGAGAAATGAGTATACACTAGAGAAGACAAAGAGCTAGTAAAGCTGAAAAACTAAAGTTCATCCAAGAATGATCAAAAAAAGTAGTCTTGGGTAAGATTAGACTGAAAAATTAGAAGGTTTCTAGTTGCCAGAAAAGTAAAACAGCAGCTTAACTTCTTTTAAGATCAAACTGGAAAAGTTTCTAAAAGGAATTTTATGACATGGTTTCCAGCAACAGCAGAGAGCTGTTACCCAGGAGGTTGTAGCTGTTCCCCATTACCCAGGACGTCCTTTCTTATCTCACGTCCATACCAAACAGAGGTCTGTCAGCACTGATTGGTATTCCACAAACAGAAAAAGAGGCTGAATTTGTCAAATGCACTTCAGAAGTAAATTATCCACTGCAAATTATTCAATAGTTTTATTATTCTATAACTCATGTAGTGAATGAAGTTCATCTAATATTAATGAATTCTCTTAGTGGGACTAAATTAAAGATTTGTGGTTAAGCACTCAAATGACACACATCAGACTCTCAAAGAACGCTGACTACTCTTTACTTTCCTGGCATCAAGTTTTTGCAGTTTTTTGGGTTTGTTTTTTCTTTCTTTTTTTTTTTTTTTTTTTTTTTTTTTTTTTTTTTTTTTTCTGGGACATATATTTTCCATCAAGGATTTATGAAAAACTTCTAAAGTTAAATGTACTCTTAAAGTAAGAACTGCCGGGAGCAAAACCTGTGTGTATTGAAACATACTCAAGGCACTCCACTGACATAGAACCCAGCCTCTCTGATGAAAGCTATCTATATATGATGAAAAGGAGAGAGAGAAAGTTATAGGGAAACATCTAAATTATGATCCCAAAGTTGTAGATACACAAACACAATAGTTTTATTTATCAGTGGAAATGAAGGAGAGATCTTCAGTAATGGAAAACTTTAAATGTTGTGACAAAAGCAGAGACCACAGTAAATCAACTTGGAAACGCCTGCAGACAGATATCAAAAATGAGAAACAGAAGTTCTATATTCTGACTTAAAGAAAGGATGTAGAAAGTTGCTTTGACAAGTGCTCAACCACTACACAAAGAATATCCAAATGTATAGACAAGAATTGGCAGTTTGCTACAAATTTGAGAAAAGGCAAAAGGAATACAAAGCAAACTGATTGTAAAAATTTCAGGTTTGAGCTGGAAAAAACAGAATGTTATTAGTAATACAAGAAAGCAAAATCTGTTCCACAGTGGATGACTTCCATTTTCATCCCCAGCTTTCAAACCAACCTTTTGACCAAAAAATGCATTTATAAGATGATTTTGTTTTCAACCAAATTTTGGGTCAACCACAAATGAGAAAACAGAACAAAACAAAACAAAACAAAACTTATTTTTAGACTATGACTCTTAAGCATCCCTTTGAATGGCATTGATAGCAGAATGGAGGAAGATAAACTGGGATCAGAGAAGGATGCTGAAACTCAATGAAGGATCTGTTTATCATCACACCCAGGGATTTTTCATAGCTTCCTATGAATTTACTAAATAGGGGATTGAGCTATAGGTTTGGCAGTGTGGGTATTGGAGTTCAATGTTTATCTGTACTTTACTGATAGAAGAGCTTTCAAGGGAAAGTTTTATATTTTTTTACTTGCAATTGTTTCTCATTTTCTTTCTGATTTGGATTTGGTTTACTCATTGTGGTATATAGATAAGAAATTACTGGTTTAGTCATGCTGTTGATGGGAATGACATGGCTTCTTGCTTCATTAGCTCCTATCACCAGCAACATGCTTGCTGCCAACACCATTCCTGTATTTTGTTCAAGGATGGTTCAAGATAATAACAGCCCTAGGATATTAACAATATCAAGATATTAACAGCCCTAGGAGCAGGAATAGAGATCGTGTATCAGGTACATGTCCCAAAGCTTCATCCAGTCTGCTGCTCCTTCTTTCCAAGCCAACAGCTATTTCTATTTCTGCAAGGCAGCAGAAATCTGGAAGGCCCCTTACTGAAACAAGTTACAGAACAGCCCTTGGGCAGTAGCTGGAGAGCTCCGAGCTCCTGGAAGCTGGATCTCATGTTTCCTGGGATAACACACACATGTTTTTGCATAGCTTCTCTCTTTTTTTCACAGAGCTCATTATGTGGTGTCCATGATGCAGACCAATCTTCAGGTTATACAGATGTGAATCACTGAAATGAGCCTGGGCATACTATAGTTAGCCAGATTTTCCTCTTGTCCAAATCTTCTGAATCTACACGGTCCAAAAACAGCCAAGTGGAGAAAGTGGAAGAGTCTACCCTTAGCCAGAGATACTTAATTTACAGTCATCTACCTTTAAAATTAATTACCCATTTGCAGATACAGGTCTTTGTGCTCTACTGTTTCCACTTATAAATTAAAAGAATACTTTACCTAGCAAGTTTTGAGTGCTGCTATGGCTCTGTAAGTGGAGCGAGAGATCACAGAAAGAAGGAAATAGAACCTTAACAGCGACATGAGTCCCTTCATTTCCTGCGAGAGACAGGGAAGTTAAGGTGTGGGTCATTTGCAGATTTAGTTTTGAAGCTCGTTGGGAGGTACTCAGCTACAGCTAAAATGGCTGCCATTATAAAATCTTGGGTAGATGAGATGCATAGTAGATAAAGTGGTAACCAGTGTCTCCCTTGGAGCACTTTAACAACTTGGTTTGAATTCATAAGCGGTCTGATTGTACATGTGCAAATGCTTCCCTATAAAGGTTAGGCACCCATTGTTATTGCAGCGTCTGTTAAAAAAGATAGCCATATCGGTTGCTAGGAGATGGTAGACTTCTCCTGGAGAAAAATCACTCCTGATAAAAAAAAAAAAAAAAGATTTTACATAAAGACCCTCTTAAATATAAATATCTTTGACAGCAGCTATTATTATTCACTGAGTTCCTTCACAACTGAATAAATGGCAGAAAAATATATTATTTGAATACCATTATATCCTAAAGTGTTAAATAGATTTTTCTCCCTTTTCTTCCCTCCCTTTTTTTGTTACTCCAAAGTGATATTTGCTTCCAACTAAAATTGCTGCATTCTTTTTTCTACAGACCATTCCATGAAAGAAATATTTGGAGAACTGAGCTCAAAAATTGAACTTGCTTGTCTTCCCTTCCACCGTAAAACCAGCTTCGCTTAAAACTAATTGTAGAGTAGGAAAAAAACTTTGTTGGGAAGGAACATGGATGCAAAAAGACAAAAAAAAAAAAACCTGCAGCAAGTCTTCACAAATGGATGGCTGGGAGAAGGCAGGTGGGAGGCTGTGCCACATGCAAGCAACCAACCATCCAATTTCATTTCAATAATGTTTGTAATTTTCTTCCTACTGGGGTGGCTGGAAGTACAGCTGCCCTATATTCGTGTCCATGTGCCCAGCTTTTGGTGAAAATGACCTTAACAAATAAAACATGAAACAAACGATATACTTGGCTGTTTTAAACTTGTGTAGTCAATAAATGAAACAATAATCTTTCCTAATTTAGTGTGCTCAGACTTGCTATTGTGGACATGAGAACTCCCCAGCTGCAGAACACAAAGGCATGCTGCCTGCACAATATGGGGTTTCAGCAGCTGTGCCTTCCATTGACCGGAGCTGGGAGAAATGCAGATCAAATACTGACAATAAGAGATCGATGTTGTAAATATTAGCATGAGAAAGGGTGCACCAAACTCTGAGTGTGTCCTTTTTTTTGTGTGGTTGTAATAAAGTTTCTCAAGAATTTTGCATGCAGGGGAGCGTGTGTGCGTGTGCATGTGTGTGAAGTGCCTCCGAATCAGGCAGCAGCATGTTTCCTTATACAAATATTGACAGGAATCCTTCGGTTTATTTGAAATTTTCCTGAGAAAGCTGCAACAATACAGTAATACCTCTTCACTACTTTTCACACAGTTGTTTCAACTGTTGGAACCAGGAAATCCTTATTGTTTTAATCAATACCACTTGGAGTGATGACGTTTCTTTTTTTCTTTTAGTGACAGACACGGTGCATTTCCTTGCACAAAGTTCTCATGAGAGACTTTTGTGCTGTGCTCAGTACAACCAACAGCAAATATGTATTTGCCAGAGGGCTGAAAGAAGGGGTCACTATTTTTTCCTCTTCCATTTTTCATCCTGATAATTTATGCTTCATTGCTGTACTTTCAAATTCACAAATGACCCCAGGAAAAGCAATGGGACTGCTGTCAGTGGTTATAATGAAACATCTGAGGAATATTTGGAAGATCAGGAGTTGTTCATTTAGTGAAGCTTTGAATTTAAGCTTGATGCTGCCTTCCTCCTCCATCTCCTTTCTACTGCTTACACTTGAACAAAAAACATACAGTAATGCTTTAAATGCATTCTTTAATGCTTTACATTAATTACAGACTTGATTAAACTTATTAAGGAAATTTGAATGTAATATGTGTATACCCAACTAATACACTATGATGAATATTGTTACAGCACTGTGCTTCCCTCTGCCATCGGGTATAGCACACAGCACAGACAAAAAGGAGAAGGGATAAATGTCTTGTCTTAAGGCATGTGGAGAAGGACTCGGTCTCTATCACTGTGCTGGTGACAGCAAGGAATACTTTGTTTCCACCGCTCAGAGAACAGGCAGGCCCCTCACTCCCTGTTCCCACAGACCCCAGGCAATGAAGGAATTCACCACCCACAGCACTTACGCCAACATTTGGGACAAACAGAGAAAATGCCCTTGTTTGCATAGTGCTCTACGTGTTCATCACCCAGCACGATGAATAACTGTGCAAAATAAACATTTCTGACTTCAAACTTTTACAACTTAACACATGCCCTTTAAAGAGCTTAATTGCAGCAGCTGCATATCTACTGATCTGCTGAAGCTTATGTGTTTTGACATCCTCTCCATTATTTTTTTTTCCTGCCTTGATCAAGTAAATTTGTAGCTTCCAAGCTTCATTCAGTTAAGTATTGCGAAGCAAACATTTTGTGCTTTCTGCGTTTTTTTTTTTTTTTTTTTTCCATTTCTCCTCTCTTTCCATGATTGAGACTTCCTGTTTACCTCTCAAAGACCTTGGCATCATCCTTCAGTCCCCAACTTCCTCTTTCTGCACTATCCTGTACCACTCCAGCCAGCAAAAACTTTGACATCAGCTTTAATGAAGGTGAGATTAAAGCCCAAATTTTATTTGTTTCACAAGGCTCAAGCCTGTAAATTACTGAATGCATTTTCTTCTCATTTGTGCTTGAGTGTAAGTGACTGCATCACAGTCCACGTTTCTGTAGTTAAGGCACAAAAATCCCTAGAACCATCTCATCCTATTTTTCTGGTGAAAAAACATTGTGGGTAACCAAAGGAAGTAGCATTAAAGCATATTTTAGTTTCTGAAAAGATGTAGGTATGACATGGAGCACACAAATTGCTGGATTGCCATTTTTTTCAAACTCTGAACTCTTTTCTCTGTTTTGAACACGACCAGTCTTAAAAGAAGATCTCAAACAGCCAGTTCAAAGAGGAAAAAATCATTATTGACACTTAGACTTTACAGTAAAATAACAAAATGGTACAGTTTTTCCATTCTGCTAAATTATAAGTCAGTCACTAGGTAAATGCCTGAAAATAGTTATTTTTTACAACACTCATAACTAACCATCTGATTTGGGGCAAATGCAGGGCCTTATTCCCTAAAACAATGTTTGAGAGCAAATACCCATACTTGGAAAGTGTAGAGATCATGGTCATTTCCCTGGAAATTCTTCCAAAAGAGAGAACTACATGAGTGGTAAGTTATTACTGATATATTGCAAGATTAATCAGGGCCTTCCTTAAAAGGTTTATAAACTGAAAAAGAATTACAGCATGCATAGCACTTCATAAAAATGTAAGACAAATTCAACAGTAGAAAGCATACAATAAAGGGGAAAAAAGCAATACATCAGGAAAAATCCCTACCTTCACTTTTTATTTTTTTAACGTGCATAAGTTAATTGCTGCTTCATACACAGAAGCAACTTTGGACAATGGGACTGTGACTGTAAAACGTTCTTGAAAGACAACTTGGTGGGACTTGTCCACGTCAAGCTTGAACAACTTTATTCTGAAATTCCTTTAAAAAATAAAGAAAAGAAGAAACAACTCTAGACATGCAAGAAATACCTGGTTTTGTGTTGTAGTCAATCATGAAAATTAGGAAGTACATTTTGAACTGTAATGAACTACAGCCCATCTGACTATGCTAGATATTTGGCTCTTATGTCACTGGTTTTTAAGGCCAATTCTCTGACTAATAAATGCACGTAGCTGGGTAGGACACAGCTGGGTGCACAGCTGAGTACAGCACAAAGCTTTCAAAGTGTTAGGGATGGCAAAATTACCTTTGACTTCAGTGGAATAGGACATACTTCACTTAAACAACTGACTAGCAACACTTTTGACATTTATCCTATCCATCTCTTTAAAAACACATCCAATTAGTTGAACTTGATCCAGACAACTTTTAAAAATTACAGTAAAGATAAATAAATCCCCCAATATGCCCATTCCACTAGCAATAAATAGAGAAAAGTCTGAATTTAAATGCCAGCTTTGACCCTTGCTCCTGGCACAAAGTTAATGTGCAAAAAAAAAAAAAAAAAAAAAAGATAATCCAGTATGTCTTTTATCAAAAGTCAATTCAAAGCTCGATATAAAGTTCAAACCTTTTGCAGCATACATTATCATTAAGATGAAATATTTAGTGGCTCTGTATTCCGGTCATCTTTTGACAATAACCTACAATGTCTCAGAGGTGGCGAGTGCTGGAGAATTCAGTCAATTATTAAATAATATCTCATTTTTCAGGAAGAAGTGTTGAAAACCACTAATTTGTATTAGCATGCTACTGATTAAATTACACCTTCCATTTTAAAGTCCTGAACAAATTCTATAAACATTAAAAATTTTAGCTGCTTTGAATCTTTTACAGTAGCTTTATAAAACCTTGAAACATTGCTTTTTAATGGCCATCTCCATCTCTTGCCCCAGTGAATGGGTATAACTCTTTGTCCTGTGGACAACAGGAAGTCACATTTTTGGACTTCGTGTAATGCTCTTCAGAGATAAGCTTGTCACAAATTACAGCTACTAATAATGTTTCAGGCTTTCATATGTGATAGTTGCAAGGTGAACACAAGGTTGGAGTAAAATAAAGTAGAACTACTCGTACTTTTTTCAGATTAAAACCTAACTAATATTTAATATTTGAATTTAAGAAAATGTTTAAAAAGTAAAGCTCTTGTGATTATTAAATGAGCATTAAAGCAAAATGGAAATTGGATTGCTAAACATCCCACTGCATTCACATGGACACGCACACAGGAGATGTCACATTTTGGAAAGCATTTTCCAAGAAAAAAGGCTTTTAAATGCTTATTTTTCTTTGAAACTCTACTCACAGAGTTAATTCACACCATGCACAGGGCAGGAAAAAAAAAAAATTACTTCGTGGGGTTTCAGAACAGCCCTCCAAGCAAAAACTGCTCTGAGACTTTCGATATCATCATTGTACATTGTGTTAGATTTCCATGAGACTTTACCAAGCAAAGAGGATTAGGCTGATCTGGTACCAAGAGGTCTTTGAGGAACACTACCACATTTCATGCCCACTGTTCTCAGCCATTCTTGCAAAGAGTGGCTTCTCCATGAAGAGTCCCACTCCAACCAGCAGTCTCCATTGGGCCAGACAGCCGTAACTCGAGCGGGTGACAGCATAGTCATGGCGTTGCAGAAGAGAGCAGTGGGGAAGCCTCTGCCTCTGAGAAATACAGCCCAGGTCTCTCTGGCTGTGGAGGAGAACATAACCTTGAACACCTCTGCCAGATCTCCTGAGGAGCATTAAGGGCTTGGGCTGAGCACGGCTCCATTGTCCCATTCATTCCCTTCACCTTTCTTTTCAGTGATGCCACAGAGAACAAGGGAGAAGCCATTTTACACTTGCCTGGTGGAAAGGTCTGGATAACACTCATGCCACATAGGAGAAGGCAACCATAAGTTTTAAGAAAAGATCATTTCTATAAGCATTTCCACCTGGATATATGCAGAGCAAAACATTAACTGAAAAGAATGGAAATGAAGCTAGAGTAAACTTACAAAACCAGCTGCATTAACAATTGAAAGCTCTTTTTTCTTTTTTTTTTTTTTTTTTTTTCATTTTTTTTCCTTTTAATTTCTTCTTCTCTGGCAATAGGATTCCAGACAAACTAACTTCACAGAAAATGAGCAAGTGAACAAGTGTCTAGTGACTAGACCTACACTGGAAATAAGGACTGGTCACATGAGATTTAATGTCATTTTAAGGCTGATTTCACAGAATAAATGAACCCTTTGGTTGATATTTGTCTGACTTTGTTTTCATGTCTTCAGTGATATTTTTTAGTCTGAGAGAGTAAAATCCAGATTGTTATGACAATGGTGAGAAC